CTTCTGGGAGTCAGGGTCCCAAAACTGACCCCAGGATGCCAGGGGCGGCCTCAGCAGTGCCCAGCACAGGGGCACAGTCACTTCCCTGCTCCTGCTGCCCACACCAGTGCTGGGACAGCCCAGGGTGCTGGTGGCCTTGGCTATCATCATAGCAGTCCAGCCATCATATTTAGCGCTACAGGGCAAGATTAAGCAGCACAGCCAGACTAAAACTGGCAACAGATCCACACATGGTCACACCCAACTGACAGACATCACCACCCCATCCTGTTTTATTTACATCTATTCAATTTCTGGGTGAAATTCTAATCCTCAAGGCTGTTTGTGGTCCTGCTCTTGACACCCATTTGACCCAGAGGTTCTCTCTGGACAAATGGCAGTGGTTGGATTGGCTGATTTGTCACATTTAAAGGCTAACAGACCCCTGCACACGCACCAGTGACTTTTCAGGGTGTACAATAACGGTCTGCAGTTTGCACTACGTACGAATTTTGTAGTTCTCGTTAATGCGGCGAATCTCTGCGTTTGTGCGAGAAGCCAGAATTTCAATCAGGCAACCTTCATCTGTTCCTGCACCCTAGGGAATGGCAAAGTCAAGAGCCAGGATTATAATGACAAGTGGTTTGATGTGCAACTATGATAGTTTAAAAAATTACATAGACGTTAATAATAATAAACGAATAATAAATGTGTAATTATGCCACACCGTACTAAATTGACCAGAACTCCAGCAACATAAAAGGAAGATTTCCACACCTTGACAGCCCTCCTCAGCTCATGCACGTCGTACATGGTGGTAGGAGTCATCATACCAATGATCACCCTTTCGAAATTGCCACTCAGCTCGGACTTCAAGTCATTAATCAAATCCTAGAGGACAGAATGAGGAGAAGGGAATGGAAGAAGACGCAGCCTTTGAGAACAAAACGAGCTCATTCACCACTTTTCTCCATGCTCCAACCCTCCTTAGATGAGCAGTTGCTATGAATTGAACACGAGCAAAATAAACTTGGCCAGGGCAAGCTTGTGCTGCTCTTTCTGTTGTGGAGATTAGGATGTTGTCCACATTTCACCCAAGTGATAGAACCCCAGAAATGTCTGCATCTCCCAGTTAAAGCCACAGGCACTGATCTCTGAAGACCACCTACCCTGCCAATAGAGCTTTTGTAGGTGATCAGAACTTGCTGACGTTGGGAAACGTTTAGCTTGGTCAGGATCTCGATGATGGCATCTTCATCTGTGCCTGGAAGAAACCAATGGAAACCAGTCAGGCTGCTTGTACAAGAACCAGAAGTATGCTCTGGTCTTGTCCAGAGTGTATCACTAACATCTTCTGTCCCTTGCATGCCCTGTTTCTCAACATCTTCTGTCCCTTACACGCCCTGTTTCTCAACATCTTCTGTTCCTCACACAACCTGGTTCTCAACAGCTCTGGGGACCAGATCAACGTGACCGAGTGCCTCAACCCACTCAGAAACATGGCAGCACCACTCCACAGAAGAGACAAGACAAGAGCTTGACTAAGGATGTTTTTATGGCCAAGACTTGGATTTCCAGTGGGGTTCAAGTCTCAGCCTGATCCAGTCACTCAGTTCCTTTTGATGCCCTCACAGGGCAGTGGGCTGATGGAAGTAGTGAGACTTCTCCACTAACAAACCACCAGACAAAACATCCCCAGTGCTCTGGGAGGAAAAAGGGCTCAACAGTGGAGGGAAACCAACTTACCCAATCCCTTCATAGCCTTTCTTAGCGCCTGCGCTTCTTGCTCAGCACTGAAACTTGAGACCCCCTTGATTGTTGCCTAAAACCACAGTAGAGGAGTTATCAAAGGCAGTCAAAGTAAACAAAATTAAATCAAAAGATGTAAACACAGTGAGAGCAAGTGAAGTCCATCACCAAACATGAGAGATTTCACATCAAGCTTCCATCCTACCCTAAAGAGAAATAGTTTGTCCTAGAGGGACCTCCCAGCCCCATCAGATCTAAGCCACAGGGACACAACTGAAAGGAGAAAACATCCTCATAGAGCTGCCCGTGGAGTATCTGGTTTCCAGTTAAATACTGGCAGACAGCACACGTCTCTGTTCAGTCCAGCTGAGGCTTCTTCCCAGCAGTTTTCCAGGTCAATCACAGGAGAAGCTGTTCCCATCACAGCCCTATTCCCGACTTCTCTAAGAGCAGCCAAGAACCATCATTCTGTAACACAACGCATCAGGAAACCCAGTGTTTTGCTTCAAACAGTGATTCCCAAACTGGTTTCTCCTGCCTCCTGTCCAGTGCTGTTTCTGTGGGACTGCGCTGCCTCTTACGAAGCTCTCCCTGTCCCCAGAAAAACCATCAGCAAAACAAACCATCGTGTACGTTAGGCTTTCTGAAACGGGCACTAGGATAACTACCACACAGATGGCTGATGGCTTTCCAGGTTGAACCTGGAAAATATAATACGCCCAGGAAGTTTATCTGGAGAAATTCATGCTCTGTGAGCCAACATCTGATCGGATTTGCCATTAACTCCCAAAATGGAAAAGCCCATATGTGTGAGTCATAGAATCACAGAGTGACCCTTGAAGGTCATCGAGTCCAACCATCAATGCAGCCCTAACTCCACCACTACACCACGCCACCTGAGCACGACATCTCCTGTCTTTTCAGCCCCTCCAGGGATGGAGACTCCACCACCTCCCTGGGCAGCCCCTTCCAGGGCTTGACAACCCTTTCAGTGACGAAATTCCTCCCAAAATCCAACCTAAACCTCCCCTGGCGCAACCTGAGGCCATGACCCCTTGTGCTATCTCCTCTGGTACCAGGAAGCAGAGAGGAGCGATAAACTCCCCCCATAAAGGGACAGACGGTGACAGCGTTCTTCCTGCTGTGTCCTCATCACTCCCCACATTTATCTGATCAAACGCTTGGCACAGCGCGGTACAGAAAACACACACTCACCATCGCTTTCCTCTTTGGTCAGTCTGTTATTGTCTGAGTCCTCTGGATGACTGCAATAAAAGAGACAGTGTTAGTTTTCTGGCAAATAATTAATAGACTATACCTACTCTTGTCAGTTTATGGGGCTGGTTGAGTAACCACCTGATTTCCCTGCGACTAAAAGCAGCACCTAAACAACCAAGCACCCATAGCAGCGTCCACGAGTCCTGCTTTGTACCAACAAACAAAGGCTGGCTTGTAACACACAAGGCATTTGCCCTGTCTGAGAGAGAGATGTGGTGCACAAGCAGATATTAGCACTAGTAATTTAAGAAATGTCTTTTTTATTGCTACGTGACAGCCTGGCTGAGGCTACGAGGAAAAGCAGGCAATAGTGCCCTGGGAGCAAAATTAAACAGACTTAATTCCCATCCCCTTCAAAGCACAGCTTTGAGTGAGAGCCTGAGGGTGAACTGGGTGCCTGCACAGCCCTCATGGGTACCCCGGGAGGCAGAGACAGCAGCAGGGTACGGATGAGCAAGGGATTGCATCACTCAAGGGCTGGGCAGGAGAATTATTTTCCCTCTTAAAATCTTCTGTATCCAACATCTCCCGGCTTTGATGCAATGTGTAATTCTGGGAGCAGGTTCATTTCCCACCACTCGACTTCGACACCACATGAGCTGAGCTCCTTGCATTAAAGCCCTGAAGGAGCAGCAGTGATGCCAGCGGCTGACGACATCGCTCCCCAGTCCCGCTCGGGGTGCGTCACGGCTGCGCCCCACCAGTTGTGCAAGAGCAGGGCCGCCTTTGCTCATGCTCCACATGCCTCTCACAGGTCTGAAATACAACCGTGTCACTCGCTGTGTGGCATTTGCCATCGCTGTTACACACAGGCGCTCCCGAGTGTGCTCCAGGTCATCTGTACATTATTAAACCCTGTGCGATCAGGCAGCACATGGAAAATTATTAGTGCTGGGTTCATTTTCTTTCATATGATTATAGATTTCAATGCTCAAATTATGACCCAGACCTCAGAAAAGTCCTCTTTGCTCTTTAAACTTTTACAGGAATATAAAGCCAACTTTATGTGCTTTAGCCAGACACTAAACAGTGGCTTTGAGTTTCACAGATGCAGTTTTACCATTCAGTTGGTTTGTACAGAAGCTGGATTAACAAGTCAATTAGGGGACAAAAGAAAGATTTATGAACAAGGAAAAACGAGTGGGAGGCAGAAAAAATCAGAGTGCAACTGAGCTGGCAGAAAGAACCCAAACCACGAGGAAAGGATGAGTGTGCTGGATTCAGGGCAAATGCTCCTGCAATATCACGTCATGACAGAAATGGCTATTGATGGTAAGTTCTGATCTCTTCATCCAGCTTAAACGTCACGGGGAATACAAAGAGACCCCACTGCACAATCCACAAATGTTGGTTAACTGCTCTGGCCAGGGCGTTAGAGGAATTAAACTTTCCTACCTCTCCCTTTCTAGGACAGATAAAGGAATTGCTCAATCAGATTTGCCAGTGCTCAGCAGCTTAACACAATTCCTGGCCCACAGCTCCAAGTGGGAAAAACAGCTTCAGGGCAGGAGCAACGCTGAATTCCATGTTTTGAAGAATTAAACTACATATGCAAAGAGGCAGCTGGGAAGTGTTAAGGTGCCCTGGTTAATCCCTGTACTGGCGTTATTTGCTTCATCCTGGAATAAAGACCTGAGCTAGGCAGTGCAGTAAACCTGGCTTAGAGCAATAGCAAGGTTTAGAGCTGGGCTGGCCACTAAAACAACAAATACTCTACTGAAGAGCATCTCTCTTAGAAGAGACTTAACTGCAAAGTAAACTCACTGAATAGAGAGTGAGTTCTGTTCAGCTGAAACCGGGACCAACAGGCTCAAAACACTGTGGCCAGACCAGTGCAGGTGTATGAGGCACCCCTCCCAATATTCAAATTTTTTCCATGGATGACCTTTTCCTGGCAGGCTTTATCAGCTGAACAGGCACTTAAAAGTCCAACATCGATGTCCCTAAATGCTGAATCCAGAATAAACTTCATTTACCAGAAAACAGCTGAAACCATGGTGTGTGCTGGCCGATTCAGATCTCCGCTTGCTCTGCACCAAGTTGTCCTGACTGCGCACAGCTCCCAGCGCGCAAAGCTCCCAACAGCTTTACAGGACATAAACATAGGGGTTTTCTTTCCCTGAACTTGAGCTCACAGATGCATTCCCAGTCCTATATCTAGGATCTGGCGTAGAAAACCACCGTTTTGTGACCTATGCGCTTGCAAGGCAAACACCGGACTTGTTTGACGAGTTCTTTCATTCGGCGCACGTTTACCCGAACACAAAAACCCACGCCCAGCGCCGGATCAGCTTTTCCATGGCTCTGCCACCACCATTCCCAGTGTGCTGGATGCTCCCAGTGCACTGGATACAGCCCGCTCCCCACAGCTGGAAACGCCTCAGGGAGGCAGAGCCCCCCAGGGCAGGTCTGGGGCTCACGGCAGGGGGATCCACCCCGATCCCAGCCCAATTTGCAGCTCAGAACAGGATCCCCCTTCCTGAAATATCCCAGCACCTCCCACACCATGACTTTTGCGTGGCCACTGCCCTCAAAAGGAATAAAAATACAATAATACTGAGTTATAGCAGAGCCTTGTACTCCTCACGTCAGCCTCTGCACCCACCTGCAGCCGCTTCCCAAGCCCCCTCCA